AACAGCAACGACGTCTTCTTCTAGTGAGCGTCATTAGATCTGTCATCCTCTCTGCTGCGCCAATATGGTCAAGAGCGATGGCAACGCCGAGCTACAGCCGGGACATTTGCGCGATCTACAGACTGAGCGCAATCAGAGTCAGCTGCGCTTTCAGGACTATCTCCGATGATGTGGCGCTTGTCATAGCCGGCATGGTGCCACTGGAGTACCTGGTCGCCGAAGCCGTGGAGCGGAATTCGCACGGGCCTACGCGACTCAACGCTGTCAGGGCGAACAGCATCGCACGATGGCAAAGAAAGTGGAATAGCTCAGCTAAAGGGCGGTGGACGCACAAGCTCATCCCGGAGCTTGAACCATGGGTTAACCGCAAACACGGCGAGGTTAACTTCTACCTTACGCAGATCCTCTCGGGTCATGGATGCTTTCGGAGCTATTTGAAACGCTTTGGCCACGAGGAATCTGACGAGTGCCCCTGGTGCGAGCGAGGGCATGTGGAAGACGCCAACCACATTCTTTTCGAATGTGGACGGTTCCTGGAGGAGAGGCGTCGTCTGGAAGAGACAGTGGGCCGCTCCATCAGAGCGGACAACTTAGTCAACGCCATGCTGGAATCGGAGGAAGCTTGGGAACTAACAAACACCTTCGCGGCCACGGTGATGATGGAGCTCCGCAGAGTCGAGCGACTGAGAAGACGAGCTGTCCCAGGCTAAGGTAGCGCATAGTGCTTGCGAAGCAATGCTTTACGGCCGTCCCGCAAGCACCGCGCGCTATCCTAGCCACCACGCAACTTGCAATTTGTTATATAATTTTGTCAATAAATGAATATAAAAAAAAAAAAAAAAACAAACATACACAGACAGTTCATGAAACTTAAGGATCGTAACTATAACCATAAAATGCGTGGACTTGCCAAGGCACAAGTCTCTAGTATTTGAAATACGCCTTTTACAAATATGGTGGTGAGGGGGTAGATATAGAGATGGGGGGTAAATTTTAACAAAAACCGAACTTATATAAAATGCCTATAACTATACATTTAAAATTTGGAGACTGTAGCTCCAAAGATGTAGGATATATAATTTTATAACTGTTTTTCGATAACGGGTTTTATCGATAAAAAATCGGGATGAGTTATCGATTTTTAGTGATAAACTCGATATCCGCGCTGTAAATACGGACATTTAAAAAAAATTTGAAGTCTCTAGCTCTTATATCTTCTGATCGACGCGTTCATACATACGGAAAGACAGACGGACGGACAGGGCCAAATCGACTCAGCTCGTCCTGATCAAGAATATATATACATTATGGGGTCTGTCACGCCTCCTTCTGAATGTTACATACATTTCAACAAACCCATTTTACCCTTACTTCCCATTAACGAGTAAGAAGACTCTAGTCGAGACTGCTCGACTAGGAGATACCCTGAACCCTCTAATCTGATATTCTAATCAGTCTGCACTTCTTTTCGACACACATACATACACACGCACGTATTAGACCGCGCTCTGCTAACTGCGTAGTAAGCAGCGACTGCGCTTGGGCTGCGCTGTAGTGTGGGCAACATTATAAGAATTTCTTTGTTGAATAATTTAATTTCTAGACGTACAATTTTAATGAAACTTTCAGGGCGTAATCATATGGTGAAAATGTGTTAAAATGTTAAATGTTAAAAATTTTATTTTCTATGATTAACAAAAAAAAAAAATTGGAATAATGTAGTTTGTTAGATTTCTGTAAAAAGTGTTTGTAAATCTAACTATAACTATGGCTTTGAATTTAAAGATTCAAGGCCAGATTTGCCATCGTATTGGATCACTGCAACCTATTGAATATGCACAGCACAAATTCTTGCAAATATATTTCATGGGCAATAGAACAAGAACAACTTGACCGGCATCAAGAAATCAACACAGCTATGAAAAGAGCAATTCTCCAAGATTTGCAGCAAATGCTTCACGAACATAATGCATTGGTCAAGCTGTTCAAGACTGCTTTAGAGCGCATGTCAAGAGATGACTATAAAGTAGTAATCAGAGAAGATAAAAGACCAGCTGGAACACATGAACGCACATTTAATGCTCCAACAATCGATGAAGTGGCAATCCTGATTGTTGGTGAAAGCTTGGAAGCACGCGATATTGTGCTTACACGACGCAGTACTGGGCAACTACAAAGAATATCTGAAACGCACCGTTCATATGACGCTTTACAATACCAGCTGATGTTTTGGCAAGGAGACGATGGATATACTGCATTTGTTTCAGGTGAGGAAGCTGCCAAGAAGGTTAGTTAGATAAATTATTACGCATATCGTTTGATGATTCGTGAAAATTCTGACAATTATTTGTTGCGATTTCGTCGACTGTTTCAACAATACTGCGTTGACATGTACGTGAAAATCGAAACGGAGCGCCTGACTTTAATCCGTTTGAATCCAGCTAGATGGCGTTCGGAAGAGTATATTCATTTACGCGATGCAATAAGTACAGGAGGAGATTCAGAAAATGTTGGTCGATTGACTATTTTACCAGCGACATACACAGGTAGCCCGCGTCATATGCATGAATATGAATACGCGTGTTTTTCTCATAATTAATCTTACGTGAGCATGCCACGTGTTGGCAAACCATCCGCATTATTTGTTCTTGCACCCGACCAAGAAACGAAGAATGTCGTTTACCACAAGGTGCTTGAATGAAAATCCGATTAATAAATTCATCAGAGTGTATCCCAACCTGAACAACATAGCTTTGTAAGGTTACAATTTTACAGGTTATGTTTTCCAGCCGGGGTCAGAGTCTCAGTCTGCCCAGGGCCACAACTTACAAGACATTTGTAAATTAATACGGGACTACACGTGGTTAGAGAAATGGGAGAGGGTGGGGGAGTCATTATGTATTAAATGGCCACGCAGCCCGAACTCGCCGACCACGCCCGAACACGCTTGCACGTGGGATGGCTGCAGCGATCGAGTGGCGCGATCAAGCGCACTCTAGATTGCTGGGGTCGGGGCTACACAGGCATATTGCGGGGTATTAGTGGGGCTACTATCATTGGTGGATCGCAGATCGAGGAACGCCCAGCGTTGTCGCCGGCGTTCACTCCAGACCACGCGATTTTGTGTGCCAGAGTTTTGGCCTTCTGGCGAACAGGATTGCCCTCGTTCTAACCACCAGTTAGTGTTGTTATTATTAGTAGATTATTGTTGTCAAATCAACTACAAATGAGTACACAATCATTTCTATAGATACATTTAACATTTTTATTCCATATTATTACCTTACGTCCTTTACCCCTCGTTTATCTGTTTCTTATTTTCTTTGCTATCAACTGCTCGCATCGAGAGCTCAAAACTAACTAAATACTGCACGCAGCTTTCAAGCCTCTTCTGCCGCTGTGCAGATTTTACCACGCGACCAGCAATGCAATTCACCACCGTGAGCTTTCGAGTCGCATGGTTGCATTGCTGATCGCGTGCCCGCCCACTAATTTGAATTTTGCCTACTATCTAAAGCTAACGACTATGACACCTATATCTACTTAACTATCTAACACTTAGCCTACTTACTATCTAGCAAAATAATCAATGACTCCAGAATGTAAACTTAATGGCTACAAAACTACAGATATAAACTTAATGACTATAATCCAATTCATTTCCTTTCACTATCTTACATGCTACGAATATAACTCACTAACCAACTTACTTACTACAAATATAACTTACTACTAACTTACTCACTACAAATATAACTTACTACTAACTTACTCACTACAAACTCCAGTAAACTCGACAGCCAGAATGCAATATGTAAGGTGGGCAAAAAGGCCACCTTACAGCTTTCAACAATTTTTTACCTAGAAATAATGGATAGGGCAATGCAACGTTTGCCGGGCCAGCTAGTATTGAATATTTGAGGAATTTTAAAAATGAAAAATCATTCACAATTAGCTATAGTGGCATCTAACATGAACTTGAATGTTTTTATTCGATAAAAACATAACGGGATGATTTATCGAATTTTAAAAGCAAACTCGACATCCGCGCTGTATATTTTTATCGATATAGGAGGCCACATTTTAGGTCTCTGCCATCAATAGTGTCCAAAATATATCAGAATATAAAAAATCACTATATCTTCAGGCTCGATTTGCCACGCCCCTAGTGGGCATAGACTTATAATTTTTTCTGTAGAAAAATTTTCTTTAGACTTTATAGAATCATTAGTTGACGTTCAAAATTTCAGCATTCTAGGTTTTCTCCTAAAATACACGCCCCCAATGGGCGGAGATATATCCGCCATAGCTCGTGATCTTGGGTGGTCAACGCGGACCTACATACCAAATTTCAGCTTTCTAGCTCTTTAACTAACATGATTTCTGGTATATCGGAAAATGCATTTTCCGATTTGCCACGCCCCTAGTGGACGGATCGGGAAAATTTTAACATTTTATAAATCGGAGATATACACGAGTATGTGTTCCAAATTTCTCTAGCTTCAATAGCGCCGAAATAGATTGCGTTCATACGGACAAACGGACGGACAGCAAGACGGACATTGCACAAAACCAATATACTGATTCACTTTCGTGAATGAGTATAATTATATCTTCTACACCTTTATTGCTAGAGTCTCCAAATTAATGTATGCTTATATGCAATTTATACAATTTCGGTTTTTGTTAAAATTTATCCCCCACCCCTATATCCACCCCCTCACCATCACCTTTTTAAAAGGCGTATTTCAAATACTATAGACTTGTTTTTTGGCAAATGCTTGCATATCCATGCTTTAGAGATCGTCTATCGACAAGAAAATTTAATAAGCAATTAACTTCTCTATGTGTGTGTGTTTATACATGTGCGAATAATTATTGAAATATCAGTTGCTCGAAGGGATCAGGGGATCTCGTAGCCGAGCAATCTCGACTAGAGCTTTCTTATTTGTTTTCTCCTAGTCTCATTAAATTATAATTTTGTTTTCGTTTTAACTTACATTCACAATGCCAACAGCTAAAGCAAGTGAAGTGGCCACGTCCAACTGCGTGATAACATTCTCTGGAGGCAGTACGGTATTTATCATAGAATTATTACCTGCCATTGTACCATCGATTAGGTTGTTAGAATCCACATTTGCATAGGTTAGAACCACTTTTTGCGTCATCATACTGGCTACAGCAAATGTACCAATTGATATGTGCTTGGATGTGCCTAAAAACATATAGACAAGCACTGGAAATACGGCCATATAGAGACCATTTCCAGCGGAAACACCAGCCAGTATTCCATAGGCCATTCCATGGGGTATATTCATAATAGCGACAGTAAATCCTGATATAATATCTCCAACGAGGTCCCGCTTCAGTGAATACTGGGGTAGCCATTGTAGAATAGGAATAAGGCCAGTGAATATTGATAGCAAGTTCAAACCACTCCAAAAGTTACGTAAGGATGAGGGGATACTTTTATCTCTTGCCGAATACCCAGTTTGTCGTATAACTATCTCATGAGTCAGCACATCTCGATGGATGCTATATTTTGGTTGTATCTTTGGTGTGCTTTTCGTATTTCCCTCATTATTATCATTGGTATTAAGAGGTTTACTTCTAAAAATAAAGTACAATTCGAACATAGTCATTTCATCGTAGATCAATTAAAACTTACTCAGAATTTTCGGAACTTTTGGACATTTTTATGGAATTCCTATATATGCTGCATGTATTTTAAATCTTTCAACACCGCCTTTGCACGACCTCACAAGTCTTTAGTACTTAAAAAAGCTTTTGCGAAATTTGTGGGAAAGTGTTGGTTTTAGACCGGTATCTAAAATATAACAAAAGTGGAAACTATATAAACTGTGCCTGAATATATGTATATGCAAAATTTAGCAAGTGTAGCTCTAGATATATACATATAATAATTATTTAATTTTATATTAATTTTCGAAAAGGTTTTAATCGATATGCTCAGAAGGGACAAATTTATCTTGTTTTTAAGCAATCTCGATTTACACGTGCGTTCACACATACAGAACCATTTTACCTTGAAAATTAAGGTATTGTTTTTAATGGGTTAGGGGTATAATAATTAAGCCTAAGCCGGATGTCGGAGTGGCCGCGATAAGCGTTGCGATGCTATAAGCGATAATTATCGCAGCGATTTGCAAAGCGATGGCATGTCAGAGTTGCTTGAATTGCCAAAAAGAATATATTCCACCTACTATCCAACGGTTATTTAAGCTCAGCACGCAACGAAAACAAACGTATCAGAAAAGCTTTATCAGGCGATAAAGCGAGAAAACGATTAAAGAATGCTTTCTCACAACTCGCTTTACTTGGCTCTCTTCTCGCTTCGCTTGCACTCTGACATGTTTTAAGCGATTACATGTAAATCTGAGTGTAGAGTTTTCTCACTTATTGTCGCTCCATATTATCGCATCGCTTATCGCGGCCACTCTCCTTCAAAGAACCGATATTTCAATATTTATTCGCCCGCACGCATAATCACGCATGTACTGCAGTTTAGGCTTACTATAAAACTTTCATTCAGTAAAAGTATTCAAAGTACGCATTGTAAGGGCTTGGGTATAAAAACAGGTAAATAATATATGAGCATCAGCGCAGACAGTGGTGCTTGAAGAAATTGTATTAGTAAATGAATGGCTATATGAGTCGGTTGATATTAATTTAGCAGCATCGTTTTTTTATACCACCTTAAACTCTATTCTGGATGTTTGTATCCCTCTCTGCCATATTTCGCCAGTTTCAAATAAGCCACCATGGTTTACAAAGACTTTCGAACTTGAGAAACATTAAAACTAAATGTTTTAAAGATTATAAAAAGTCTGGTTCAAGTATTGACTGGTCTAAATATTCCAAAGTCAAGTCAAATTGCAATCTTTTAAATTCTTATACGTTGCAAACGTCAGTTTGCTCGAGATCCACGGTATAATGGTTTTGTCGAAATATATGTAACAGGCATACTATATATATTCTTACTATATATATTCTTGATCAGCACGACGACCTGAGTCGATATAGCCCTGTACGTCTGTCCGTCCGTCCGTATGAGTGCGTCGATCTCAGAAGTAATAAGAGCTAGAGAGCTGAAATGGCATGCATACTCGTGTACCATACGCAGTACGAGCTTGCTTTATTTTTTCGATAAATCATCCGATAACTTTTTTATCGAGAATAATTGATTTTGTTTTTTCAGCCTAATTTTAACACTTTTAGACCTAGAGAAATCAAAATTACAGTGTATATACAGTTGATCGGTACAAAGATTTACAGATTTTGGATACCACGCCCCCTTCGCCCCCATGTACACACATTTGTACCATATGATTACGTTTTAAAAGTTTCATTAAGATCGTATGTCTACAAAAGAAATTATTCAAAGAAGAAATTCACACTGCAGCGCAGCCCAATCGCAGTCGCAGCTTACTGCGCAGTTAGCAGAGCGCGTTGTTATACGTGCGTCTCGATGCATGTGTATGTATATGTGCATAAAAGAAGTCCAGAATGATTAGAATATCAGCTTGGAGGGTTCAGGGTATCTCCTAGTCGAGCAGTCTCGACTGGAGCCTTCTTACTTGTTATACCCTGAACCCATTGAAAATGGGAAATCAGGGTATAATGGTTTTGTGAAAAGTATGTAACAGGCAGAAGGAATCATCGCAGACCCCATAAAGTATATATATTCTTGATCAGGACGACGAGCTGAGTCGATATAGCCCTGTCCGTCTGTCCGTCCGTCCGTCCGTCCGTCCGTCCGTCCGTCCGTATGAGCAAAAGGATCTCAGAAGATATAAGAGCTAGAGAGCTGAAATTTGGCATGCATACTCGTGTATACCATAGGCAGTACAAGTTTGCTTTATTTTTTCGATAACTCGTCCGATAACTTTTTTATCGAGAATACTCGAAAAATCGACATTGTTTTTTCAGCCTAATTTGAACACTTTTAGACCTGGAGACTTCAAATTTGCGTTGTATATAAAGTTAATGGATACCAAGATTTTGTATTATACAGATTTTGGATACCACGCCCCCTTCGCCCCCAATTTGTAAAAAACGTATTTCAAGTACTAGAGACTTGTGCTTTGGAATGTACACACATTTTAGCCATATGATTACGCTCTAAAAGTTGCATTAAGATCGTATGTCTACAAAAGAAATTATTCAACAAATAAATTCTCATAATATTGCCCACACTACAGTGCAGCCCAAGCGCAGCCACTGCTTACTGCGCAGTTAGCAGAGCGCGTGCTTATAAGTGCATGTGTTGTATGTTTTATGCAGAAGTCCAGAATGATTAGAATATCAGTTTGGAGGGTTCAGGGTATCTCCTAGTCGAGCAGTCTCGACTGGAGCCATCTTACTTGTTTTAATTATTTTATTATCTATACTTAATATTCCTATATTTTAAGTTTTCTTTCTAACACCATATTTGGCTGTGAAACGTGGGCCGGACTGACAAATAAAATACCCCTATTGGGTTGGTGATACTATTGTAATTATTTTCTGTACTTTGTTTAGGCCTTTTAATTTTATGTTGATTCCAGTTTTTGTCAATATCTTTAAGAAATAAACAAATAAAAAATAAAACAAGTAAGAAAGCTCTAGTCGAGACTACTCGACTACGAGATCCCCTGAACCCTTGGAGTAATAGCTATTTCAATAATTTTTCGCGTCTTTCAGCTTACACAAGAAACACGCACACACACACACACACGCACGCACACACAGGCATACATACACACACATACATACACACATACACACACACATACACACACATACACAAACAATAACATACATATACACACACAAGCATAAACACGCATGGGCGGCAGTGAGCGCTTACTATGAGAACTTAATTGCTTAATGACTTTTTTGTGGACGTACGATCTTCATGAAACTTTTTTTATTATGATTATGACATGGATATGCATGTAACTGCCAAAGCACAAGTCTCTAGTATTTGAAATACGCTTTTTACAAAAGTGATGGTGAGGGGGTGAATTTAAGGGTGGGGGGTAAATTTTAACAAAAACCGAAATTGTATAAATTGCATATAGGCATACATTAAAAATTTGGGGACTCTAGCAATAAAGGTGTAGAAGATATAATTTTATAACTGGTTTTCGATAAGGTTTTTTATCGATAAAAAAAGATCGGGATGAGTTATTGATTTTTAATGATAAACTTGATATGCGCGCTGTAATTACGAACATTTAAAAAAAAAATTGAAGTCTCTAGCTCTTATATCTTCTGAAATCGACGCGTTCATACATACGGACAGACGGACGGACGGACAGACGGACAGACAGACGGACAGGGCCAAATCAACTCAGCTCGTCACCCTGATCAAGAATATATATACTTTGTGGGGTCTGCCACGCCTCTTTCTGCCTGTTACATACATTTCAACAAAACCATTATACCCTGATTTCCCATTGAAAATGGGTTCAGGGTATAAAAAAACAGCTATTTCAATTATTTTTCGCGTCTTTCTGCTTACACAAGAAACACACACACACATATACACGCACACACATAGGCACTCACGCATAAACACGCATGAGCTGTGTGCGCTTACTTTGAGAACTTAATTGTTGTGGAAACTTTTAGATTATGAGTATAAAAATGAAATGCGTGCATTTGACAAATCGCAAGTCTCTAGTATTTGAAATACACTTTTTACAAATTTATCGGTGAGGGGAGGATATAAGGGTTGGGGGTAAATTATAACAAAAATTTAAAAATCTGAATCGATTTTCGATAAGGTTTTTTACCGATAAAAATAACGGGATAAGTTATCGATTTTTTGTGATAAGCTCGATATCCCCTCGTGGGCGGATCGGGAAATTTAACACTTTATAAATCGGAGATATACACGAGTACTTGCTCCAAATTTCCAGTCTCTAGCTTCAATAGCGCCGAAATAAACTGCGTTCATACGCACATTGTATAAAAAGGTAATTAACGAAAAACGTCTTGAGTGAGTTTACATTGGGGTGCCCTCAAGGCGTCATAGCTTACGGCCTTCAATAAAATGAGTGAGATTAAATGAAGCCTTAAAACGGAATGAAAAAGATGCCAAAGCGTAAAGGCGCCGAGTCAATCTACTTCGTATATGCTCGGCTTCACAAAATGAGTGCGAGTGCTATTTTTGAGTTACTCTCTCTCTCTCTCACTTACGCTTTCTGTCTCCTTATGATCTCTCCCTCTATGTTCGCACAAGCAATTGCGTAAAATATTATACCTGTCTACGACAACCCGTGCTACATGTATGATAATTTTTTGCGTCTTCAATTCTATTTTGACGGCTGAATATTCTGCCTTGAGCAGTGCTGCCAACTTTTCCGGTCAAGAAAATGCTAAATTAACCTTTCAAACCTGCTAGAAAAGGCTAGATCAATATCAAGAATAGCCAGAGTTTCAATTTCAGTTTTTATACCCTGAACCAGTATTGCCGTTTTGGCTTATTTTCGGCCAGATCTGGCTTATTTTGAAGTGCGATTGCGGAAAAAATTTAGAAATCGCGGATAGCGGAAAATCTGGCTTATTTATGAATCGAATCAGCTAATACATATTATGTTTAATATCTGATATTTTTTACCGATTAATAGACAAACAAACAAGCTGGCAACTATTATAGGCTAACATCACAAGTTCTTCAATACTTTTATCTCTAACATATAGTATTGTAGTTAGATAGATTTGCTGTTGCGCTTCGCATACATTCGTTACTTTGGTGGAATGCCAAATTTGAAGGGTCAAGTCAATTTAATAAAATATTAAATAAGAAATAGGATGAAA